TGTTTGACCATGTGACCGTTGATGTTGGCTCGGGAGTGGAACGTCAAGCGCGACTTCTGGCGCGCGCGAGGGGTAAAGCTTCGATACTTGTCTACTGACCTTTGGCACCCCAGGTGCCAGGGGCGATGTCTGACGCTCGCTATGTTCCGACGTCAGTTCAGTTCTTTACGCAGCAGGTTGATATGCAAATGTGCCCTCTCAGAAGCAACGCATGGCAACTGTGTGCAGCAACGCGCGATGCTTGAAACAACCGTTCAACATTTCATCCCAACACATTCTTGCGAACACCTCTGTCACGAAAACCTCCTTATGAGATCGAGCACACCGAGAGGATGAAAGGTGAGTGTTGGCGAGGGGTTGTCAAGGAGGGCGCGGGGTGGACGGGGGGTGGACGGGGGGTGGACGGGGGGTGGGCGGGGGGTGGGGGGGTGGGCGGGGTGGAGGGGCGTGGACGGGGGGTGGACGGGGGGTGGACGGGGGGGTGGACGGGGGGGCGGACGGGGGTGGACGGGGGGTGGACGGGGGGTGGACGGGGGGTAGACGGGGGGCGGGCGGGGGGGTGGATGGGGGACGGAAGGTGAACGAAAGGTCGGGCAGGAGGCAGATGGACCTCAGAGAGATTACACCGATGCAGACGGATTTTGTGACGCACCCAAATGTGTTTTTTGTAACGTTTATTCACATATCTTCGAACTGGTGTTGCTATTACTGCTGTGTGCGGCGGTTGGCATTCAGAATAGAATCGCCCCCGCTTGATTGATGTCATCAGGCCCATCCCACATGCTTTTCATCCGTGACCACATCATGATCATGACCCACCTCCTTCGTTGAGTCAGAACAGCGTCTCCCGATTCCAGGGCGCCAGGAAAGGTTTTCTTAGGCGTTGTCTCCTGCTCTTTTGTCCTTCCTGCCCTCCTTGTCTCTCCTGCCTCCTGGGCCCTCCTGCCCCGTCGGTCCCGATTAGGTAATTTGTCCTGCTGCCCCCTAGTCCCTGGAGTACGTTGCGAGCTCTCTTCCCCGCTCGTGAGGCATTTTGCCTCGAGTCCCTCGAGAAGGGCACCTCGGGCCTCTGCCGGGGCCCCCCTAGCGCCTGGCCTCCAGGGATGGCGGCGCCAGCGCAGTGCTGCTACGAGGATCCCCTGTGGGCGCAGCAGTCGGTCTGCCCCGTCGACGGCCGCCCTCGCCACAAGCAGCTAGTGACCTTGCTGTGCGCAGGAGGGGCCAGGGGCAAGGGCCAGTGGGGTTTGTGTCCGCTGCCCTTCACTCCGAGGGCGATTTCCTTAGGTCTCTTCCCAGCCAGTTCCACCCTGTGAACTTGGATCGCGCTTGATTTGGGCGTTGCCTTCCTGCTTTCCCCCCCCCCCCCCCCTCCTGCCGACCTGCTGCCCGGGAGGCATCGGAGCTCCTGAGCGCGCCGCCCGCGAAGCTGGCTGGAACTGGGAGGCCGCCAACGTGTACGACGTAATGGAGGGCAGCGGGGGGAGGGGGGGCGCAGTCTATTCGGACAATTTGAGGGTTGCCCTTCCCTCTGACCCATGCTCAGTCTTCTCCTTCACCCTCTTCATATGCAGAGCGTCTGTCTCGACGCATCCTTCCCTCCGCTCGTCGACGTCGTCGTCGCCGCTGTCGTCGTCGTCGCGGTCGTCGTCGTCCGCCTCCTCCTTCCCCTCCTCCTCTTTCACCTCCACCTCCTCCTCATCCTCCTCCTCCACCTCTAGGCTTCAGAAGACGACGATTTGGGTTAGGGGAGGATGCCCTCAAGCCTGCTGCTCGGCTCCTGCACGACAGCCTGGGCACTCGCGAGGATTGCTTCCGCTATGGCAAGGTTGGCGCATCGGCCTGCGCCCGCCCTCTTGCCGTTTTTTTTTGTTTTGCTAATTCTAGGTTTTCCATGCAGAGTAGGAAGGAATGAGCTAGAAGCGAAGGGGAAGCCGCTACTGGCCATGTAAGGACAGTCAGGGTCAGAGCTCGAAGGTACGAGTAGCGAAATTGGAGACTGCTGGGGGGCGGGCGCGATGAGAGAATTGAGGAGGTTAAGGAGGATACGATCGTCAGTATTGAGTCGCAAGTTTCAGGGTCGTCAGGAAGCCCTGATCATAGGCTATTGGCTCGCTCGCGGCAACCTTGGGACTCCTTGTCTGCTATGTCGTCGATGTTCGACGCGAACCTGCGGTTATTCCGTTTTGCACAGTCATCATGTTTGCGGTATCACAAGGCGTGCAAATCACGCGTGATAGCACACGGCTTAACACACCAACATACTTGCATCAGCAAAAGCAATCGACTTGCAACATACCCGCCAACGGGTTGGCCCGCACCACATGTCAGATGGGAGCAACAGCGCCATGACTGCAACATCATCAACGACATACCTCAAAGGACCACATGGGAAATACAGACCTGTTGAACGTGGCAAATGCAACGCGTCGGCATTTGTCAAATGTCAGCGCCGACGTGCTATCTCACAATGTTTTATTTGATTCCTCTCTCTCTGGCCTCTCGCTCCCTCCCTTTCTCTCTCCCCCTCGGTCACTGCCAACCCTCCATCTCGCCTCTCTGTTCCTTCTCCCGGTTCTCTCCTGGCTCTTGTTCGCGTGGCAATTGTTGCTCAGATGTTGATGCTTGACTGGGGCCCCCCTGGCATTCCTGAGATCCCTGAGCCAAGGTATCGCGGCCTCTACGGAGACGGGCCGTTCCAGTACGATTCTGAATTGGCCTGGGACCTTCCCGATATTGAGCCGGGTGCCGTCGTTCTTTCGGCGCCGCATTTGCGCCCGGGGCGGCCAGACCCCCTTCCTTTCTGGGCGCCGACTTTTCTTGAGCTCCCTCAGCCAGAGCAATGTCCGCCAGTGTGGTATCGCCCTGCTACCAAACGCAGGCCAGAGGTCTGGTTCGCCCCAGCCTTTCGCGGGCGCCGTGGCCGCGTGGACCCTTACGCCGTGGCTATGATTTGGCGCGTGCCTGGTGGAGCTCCCCGCGCATATGCGCACCTTTGGGGGTTGGGATTTGAACAAGCTTTTGTTGTGATTTAGTTTTCTGCCCCTTCCGTCCATGGGGGGTTCGATGCCCCCGTCTCCCCGATCCCCTCCAGGTATCATTGGTGCTCAACACTGGTGGAAGAAGGCGTCTTGGCACCTCGCATCTGACCAAGGAGTTTGCGGCGTCGGAACAAAGAGGGGCCCTCTTGGTAGCGCTCTCACCGCCCAACAAGTTAGGCAGCATTCGATATTCTTGGCCCGCGCAGAAGATGGGGGGTGGAGCCAAATGGTTCGATGCACTCGCGATGAGGTGGAGAGGCCTCCTTCTTCAGACGCCAATGGGGGGCAATGGGGGCTACCGAGGGGCCAAGGTGTGCCAACGCCATTACCCCGTGGGTAGAGCTCTCTCTAGAGGTCATTTCTGGGCCCTCAGCGATGTATGCAGCAGGGCCCCTGGGAACCCCGAAAGCTTGGGCTTACGGGGCAAAGGGGCCGAAGGGGCAAAGGAGGCGATGAGGGCGCAATATGGGTGGAAGGCGGCATTGGGGAGCGTCGAGCCAGGTGAGGAGGAGGCGGCCATGGGGGCAGAAGAGAAGCAAGGATAATAAAGAGAAGGAGGAGAAGGAGGAGGGACATTGGAGCGCAGGAGCCAGGAGCAATAGCAGATACACCATTTGCTTCGCATAGGAGCCATTTGGGCTTGAGACTTGCACAGCAAGAAGGCCTCCAGCGAGGCTTCTGAGTCGTGGGTTGAGCTGTCCAGCGATCAGCTGTTGCCATGGCTGATAAGAAGAAGGTCGCAGCAGGGACGCCGACTGACAACAAGTCAATCACGGCAGCCTCTGCTACTTCGAAGGGCGAGTCCTCAAAAGGCGAACCTGCAGCGGCGCAGCTGGGTGCTCCAGCCGCAGCCGCGCAGCCTGATGCTTCAGCCGCGCAGCCAGGTGCAACGCCCTCCGCGTCGCCTTCACCAGCAGCCCCTCCAGGCGGCGCCGTCGGCGCAGAACCTCAGGCCACTCCTGCGGCAGACGCCCCCACGGGCGGTGAAGGCAAGGGCGCGAAGCAGGTCGGAGCGGAGAATGTCGAGCAGGAGGGCGACGCGTCCGATGGCCTGGAGGCGAAATTGAATGCGATGTTTGATGATGAGATCCCGGCCAGCACTGACGATGCGCCTGGCGGACAAGAGAAGTCCGATGTTACCGAGGCTATTACGGGGGCGGCGACGCCAATCTCTTCGGATGCTGCCCCGTCTTCGGAGACCCCGAAGGCTGTCATTCCTCAGGAGATTGTTTTTTTTTTTATCCTCTGGGGGGTAACGCTCGTCACCCGGGCCTCTCCCCCCCCCCTCCCCCCCCCGTAACGGTAGCGCTCGTGCGCGGGGGGGGTCTCGGTCTTCCCCTCCAACATGCTGGTGCCCGAAGGCATGCGCACTGTGGCGTGGTGGTCGCAGGCGCACTGTGGGCGCTCGCAGGCCATTGCGGCGCTCGCATGCGCGATGCTGGTGCTTGCGGGCTTTGCGCTTGTACTCGAATCGTCGTCGTCGTCGTCGTCGTCGTCGTCGTCGTCGTCGTCGTCGTCGTCGTCGACGGCGCCCGAAAACGGCCTCCGGAGGCCGAAACAGGCGGCAAACGTCGTCGTCGTCGTCGTCGACCTCGTCGCTCGTCGCTCGTCGATCATCGTCGTCGCGCGCGCGGGCGCGGGCGTGGTGCCGGGACCACGCGGCGGGCTTTGCGCTTGTACTCGAATCGCAAGCCACTGTGGTGCTCTCAGGCAGAGAGTGCTGCTCGCGCGCATACTATGGCGATCGCAGAGCGCCCCTGCTTCGCCATGCCCCGCCCAGCCCAAGCGTTACCGTTACCCGGGGGGCACGACCCCCCCCCCCCCCGGGGTAACGAGCGTTACCGGCCGGAATAAAAAAATTATCTCCAGGCCGCGTCCAGCCCTGTTGCTGCAGTGGGCGCGCTCGCCGCGCTTGGCCTCGCGCCGATGTCGGCCTTGCCTGCCTGGAGCCCGCCTCCCAAGGGTTCTAGCGCCAGCGACGGTGGCGCCCCGACGTGCGCCACGGCCAAGCCATCGCCACAGACAGGCAATATGTTCGCGTGCCCCATGGCCGAGGAAACCATCGGAGGTGATGACGCGTTTGAATGCAAGCGCTGCGGCTTGCACCTGGCCCCCTGGGAGAAGAACGAAGACGATAAGACGCAGAAGGATATATGTGACAAGTGCCACTCTAACTACAAGGCGTTAACTCGCCGCTGGAAAAAGCACAAGGCCTTGAAAAAGTGGTTTAGCGACAAGTCGGAATCCGAGAAGCAAGAGTGGTGCGCCACCCGCAGGGTCAGCGGAGCCCCGGACCGACGGCCCAAAAAAGTTTGCGCTAGCATCAGGGTTGGGCGTGTATAAACCAATCCGCATGATAGTCTCTTGAGCAGCAACAGCGGAAGGAGGATGAGAAATGAAGGAGGCAGGAGGATGCGAGAGGAGGCAGTGAAGGTGGAGAGAGGGTTGGATTTGGTGAAGCAACCCACCGCGCCTTGCCCCCTCCCCTGGGCCCCCCCAAAGCTGCATCCTGAAAGCCTGTTCAGGGCCCGGGGCTCGGTCTCGTGGAACTCGCGCTGGAAAGTCACCTGGGGGGCGGCGTAGGGGCGGGGGGGATGGCAGAGGATTGGCGCCCATTTATTCCCAATCCTACATCGTGTTCCCTCCCTCGGTATTTATCCGAAACCTCCTCTCGTTTCCCTCTTCTCTCCTTCGCCCTCCACCTGCTCCTCTTGTCCCCCACCCACCCCCTCTCTAGATGGCAAGTCACCAACCACCCCCTCGATCGCACTGTTTATTTTGTCGGCCGCTCCTGAGGACGTGAGCGAACTAGTGAAGATTGCGGTGGTGGCGGAGAAGGAGGAGGGCGAGGAGACCCGCGGCAGGGTTCACTGGAAAACCCTGGGCCCTCGTCGCGAGAGATCTCGCTCTCGAGGGCTTCGCCGCGAGGGCAGACCAACTGACTGAGTTCGGGCGCCGCTGCATGTCCAACCAGTACACTGTGATGGCCGACCCTGTGCATCCGAAGGAGTGGCTGATCAGCGAGTACCAGGGCATCATCGCTGATCAGGTCACCGCCAGCAGGGTCAAGGGCGTCGCTCAGAAGGATGCTGACGCGAGCTCCCAGGCGGCCTTGCAGGCCTTCATGCAGTCCATGACGCAGTCGCTGCAGGACTCTCGCTCGAGCAGCGTCGCAGCCATTCAGTCTTTAGCGAACGACGGCTCGGCCGCGAGAGCTGCGCCCCCTGAAGAATATTGCCATAACATCGTCGAGTCCCCCTCCTCGGCAGCGATTGCGCAGCAGGAGGTTGGAAACTTCGGCGCAGCCTTCACCAAGTCGTTGCAGAAGGAGCAGGAGGTCAGGGAGGCGCAGAAGCGGTACCAAGCGCTGATCCTCGCAGAGGACATCGATGCCAAGAATCACGCGGCCGAGAGCGCCAACGGCAAGACCGTGAACATCGTCCAGGCGCGTTTCAACGCTGAGAAGGCCATCGACGCCCACAGCAATAAGCTAATTGGGCTTCTCGATACCCAGGCGGGTTAAATTGCACAAATTGCCCGGGTGGGGGTCAGGAGAAGGAGGAGGAGCGGAAGATGGAGGAGGGGTGGAAGGAGGAGGATGAGGGGTTCTCGGAGTGAGGGGGGGCAGGGGGGCGGCGGAATGAGATGCATGCGGGTCCTTGTTTCGCTCGCGCGTTTGGCATTGCACCAGTTTTTTTGTTTTGTTGAGTTGGCCTCGGGTGCGGATCGAAAGGAAGTCCTCTTCGACTGGCCAGGGGGGTCCCATTGATTGGAGCATCGGTTTGACGGCGTGATGTCCGTTCTGGCCTGCGTTCTTCCGAATGAAAGTGCAAGCGTTTGATGGGCCTCGTTCTGAATTCAGAGAGCCCTCCCATCCCCGATGGTTCCCGGCCTCTGTCGATCTAAACCGTGTTGTGGTTTGGTATCGTCTGGGTTGGCCTGGGAGCGTCACGCGGCGGCGCGCGGCGGCGGCGGCGTCGGCGACGGTGTCATCGAAGGTGACGGAAACGAGGTTGCCATTGTGATTGTGCCTCCATCTTGAAAAGACGGTGGCGGCGCAGACTTGGTTGCCCTCTGTTCCATCCCTTACCCATGCCAGTCACTCGTTTGTTTGTTTTGCCTGAACCCCGCAGGCAAACGAAGCTTTATCCGTGGCGGAGTTTCTCGAGGGGAGGGTGCCCAGGGAAGTGTTGGAGACAGATACTTGGAAGCCTACGATGGATAAGCTTGCAGGTGTCAAGGCTTCTGCTGCGGCGGAGGCGAAACGGATAGATACCCAATGCAACGAGATGGTCGCTGAGGTGAAAGACGCAACTTGGGATGGCAGCGTGAAAAAGGTTCGGGAGCAATTGAGGGAATTGGTCGAGTCGCAGAGGCTTGCCACTTGCCATGCCATCGCGACTAAACGGTTGATCTCCGACGCCAAGGCGCAGTGCGCCAAGAGGACCGAGAGCGGCGCTCAGTCCAAGAAGCGCAAGTCAGCATTCGACGATGCGCCGCAGATGGAGGTCGACTTGGAGAGCAACCTCGGCCCTGCGATGCAGGTCATCGCATCTGAGACGCGTGGCAAGCACATCAACATCGTGACGGACCTCTCGGAGCTGGGCCCCGGCAGGATGGCGGTGGTGGCGGCCCCCCAGCTTTGCAAGGACGTGGAGGCTGCATCAGGTTGGAAAGCTTGCGAGTCCTGGATGCGAAGCAAACTCGAGACGTGGGGCTCGCAGGGCGCTTCGCCCGCGTTTGGGTCAGTGGTCCAGCCAGCTGTGCTCGCTCAGATCCGCACCATCAGCACGATGGAGAAGGTTGAGGTCAGCAACCTCTTTCGCACCGCATTCATTGCTTCTGGGCCCAAGGAGCAATCGCTCTTCAAAGTACTTCACGGCGCGCAGTGCTTTATCATTCCGCGCTTGCACTCTTCGGTGTCGCCTGCGCCGTACGGGATCTGCGAATGCAGGTTGATCTTGGAAGGGGAGGAGGTGATCCTTGGGATCAAGATTGACATCAATCAAGGGGGGCTCGGCAGCCAGGTGGACAGCCTCAAGCGCATGTCGGGCCACGACTTACTGCGCCTCGGCTCCTCCGATGGCAACGGGCACTGGCGATTTTGCTGTTATTCCGACGGGCTTCGTGCACGTGATTTTCAGAACTACTTTGGTGAGAGGTGTCCGCTGGGGTTGCTCCCCAAGGTGGGAGGGGGAGTTGCAGGAGGTCGAGCGCACGGTCAGCGCGGCGATGGAGGCGTACCAGGGCATCCGCGGCACGACCTACGAGGAGTGGTGGAAGTGGCTGAACAGCTCGGCGGCGTCACTATGAGCGCGTGGGTGGTCTTCGCGGCGCCGCAGTTGGCAGCTGCTACCGCTAGCAGTTCTCCCCCCCCCATCCGATCTGATCTAGCTTTTCCTCCGATCCCCCGTCCTGCTCCTCGAGGCCGCTGCCCCCTCTCCTCCCGGACTCTCTCCCGGCCCTCCCTCCATCCTCTCCCGTGGCCCATCTGGCAATCCAACTCGGCCTTCTTCTATCAACCTCGAGTAACGCACCTGCTATGTCGCTTCATTTGCCAGGCTCCTCTCCGTTCGCATTTGCGATTCAACCTTTCGCGTGCTCCCTGGCCCAGTCGTCATCCTCTTGGCGGTTCGCACGGCTCGAAACTCTCATTGTGTTGTTCTTTTCTACTCTCGTGCTCGCCTCTCCTCTCCCTCGCCGCCGCCGCCGCCGCTCTGTTCACTTTACTTCTGGCGGTGCTGGCCTTTCCGCTCGCCAGGCAGCGCGCAGTCGTCGGTCTGCTCCGCGTTCAGCTGCTGCCCGGCCATCTTGCCGCGCGTCGCAGGGTAGGGGGTCTGAGAGGGACCCTTCGTTTCAGCTTGAGGGGCTGGAGGAGTGGAGAGGAGATGGGGGCGACGGGGAGGAGGGGGGCCAGAGGGAGGACGGCGGCGGGGGAGGGGATGAGGGGGGAGGAGGAGGAGGAGGAGGAGGAGGAGGAGGAGGAGGGGGAGGAGGAGGAGGAGAGAGGGAGGATGAGGGGGAGGGGGCGACGGCCAAGACGCAGCTGCACCTAATACTTTTCTAACTCTGGGGTTTCAGCAACCTGCAGGGGCCAAGACAACTGTGAGAAGTTGCGTGGCCAGTGCGCGGCGCCCGCCTGCCTCTCTCGTTCGCCTGCGTGGTGGAGTGGCAGGGCTCGCGGCCGCAAATTAATTTGGGCAGCGTCGTCGCTTTGGAAGCGAAGCTGTTTCTGTCGGGGTCTGAACAAATGGGGGATCTCACGATGGGGCAAAAGTGGAGCTGGTTAGGACGTGCATGGGCTCACATTCGCGCCAAAAGAGTGACAGGGCGCAGTTAGAGGCAGAGACGGGGGTCAGGAGGGTAGCGACGATGGGGGATGAGGATGGTGGACAGGAGAAGATGGAGCAGGAGCAGGACCAGAAGGGGCAGGAGAAGCAGGAGGAGGAGGATGGGGGGCGCCAGCAACGGGAGCAGGAGCTGCACGCGGGAGGGCCTGCATGGGATGCATCAGCAGGAGCAGCAGCATCAGCGAAAACACGCAGCAATGACAGCAGGAGGAAGGATGGACGAGCACCGCTGGGGAGCAACTGCGCTGCCATGTGATGTGGAGAGTTGATGGGGGGGATCGCATCCTACCTCTTCTCCTCCCCATCCTCCTTCTCACCTCCTCGAGTCCTCATCTCCTCCAGTCCTCATCCTCCTCTCCTCCCCAAGTCCTTGCTGGACCTCTTTGTCTCATTGCCTCTCAGTGGCGGACCCCGCTCTTGAAGAGTGCCCATTCATGTGGGAGGCTCTCGCTCTCCTACCTTTCCCTTTCTGCTCTCCTTGTCTCATTGCCCTCCCACCTTCCCCATCCTTCTCCTCGCTGTCTTCCTGGCGCACTCTTGCCTGCGGCCGCTCCCCCCCCCCCCCCCCTCCCAGCCGCCGCGCGCGGGCCCGGGCGGCAGGGGGCATCCTCAACCTCAGGGTGACTGCTGACGGCTCGGCCGTCGAGGGTGGCACGTTCTACGAGACGGACGGTTTCATTTGCGGATGGCCTTGCCCTCCTTGGTCTTTCCTCGGGTCCCGCAAGACGTTCGAAGACGATCGCGCGCAGGCGCGCTCGTGTCGAACCGTCGAGTAGCTGCTCTCGATGGGGATGGTGGAGGTTGAGACGGAAGGAGGGATCGGGATGAGGATGGAAGGGTGCAAGAGTACAGACAGAGAGTTGACGACGGATACAAATGAGGAGGAGGGACGCTGCGAGCTAAGACCAGCAGTATCAGCAGCCGCAG